ACTCTCCCTCTCCCAGACAGACACACACACACTCCCTCTCCCAGACACACACACACACTCTCCCTCTCCCAGACACACACACACACACACACCCTCTCCCAGACACACACACACACTCTCCCTCTCCCAGACACACACACACACACACTCTCCCTCTCCCAGACACACACACACACATACAGACTCTCCCTCTCCCAGACACACACACATACAGATTCTCCCTCTCCCACACACACACATACACATACAAACTCTCCCTCTCCCACACACACACACATACAAACTCTCCCTCTCCCACACACACACACATACACACGCACTCTCTCTCTGTGTCTCTGCAGAGCACAGAAGAGTCCACTTGTGAATTTAAGTGACAATTGAAGCCTTGTTTAATATTTGCTGAAAATTAGGGAGCTCACAGTAATTGAAAATAAATGGCCGTTACTGCTGCAGCTTGGAACATGTTGCAAGTCATTGTACTCAAACCACAGCAGGAAACGTCTGCTTTCAGGAGCTCCTTATCTTCAGCACCATTTATAAATGTGTGGCATTGATTATAAGAGTGCCTTTACCACCCACCTAACCCATATTCCTTACATTCTGCGTGTCTTCGCTTTTACATTTACAAAATGTACCAATTAGAATTGATTAATACCGTTAGAAACCAAAAGACATACAATAAAAAGCAAAATTATGCACTGCCATTTCCCTGTTTTTCTTTGGAACTCTGATGTCTAATCAAGCCTAAGGACTGATCTGACCCACAACATCAATTGTCTGTTGCTCCGGTAATCCCTTGTACAACATTCTGTTTGATTTATCTCTCAGTTCTGATAATAACCAAAGTGTTCAGTTACCTGGAGTTGGCTGCTATCTCCAAAACGGAAACTTTCAGCTGCTTTTTAGGACAACTGGTGCTGGCTGCATTTAACTGCTACAAGAAAGAACAAGTAGAAAATAAAAAAATACAAACATGAACTGACACCTGCGTCATTTTAAAAAATATATATAAGAAAAGAAATTTTATTCGCCTGTCACTTTGCCAGAATGGGGATTACCGACATCCAGTGGAATCTGAAATAATGAGTGATAAGTTTGGAAGTGTAATAAATTGAATCTGAGCTCATTTTTAGTCAGCTAATTGAAGACTGGAAGTAGAAATTTTTTCTACATATCCAACCATTGTTCCAGGAGTACAAACGTACATTAATCAAAAATCAGAGGGAAAGAAAATAAGTTCAAAACCTATGTACATGTGGGCATTACTAAACCTCTAGACAACTTTCACTCTTATGTAGATATTTCTGAACCACATTGTGTGTTTCACGATACTAAATTACTAGACCATTCTCTTTTGCTGTATATTACCCCAGGTCGATGTTACCCTACCACTTTTTGCAGACATTGAGCTTATGTAAGTGTTTCTATATCACTCGATGTAGTTGCTGCTGGGTGCCCCTATGTTAGTACCACTGGAACTCTCTTATGTAGATGTGACTCAATGTCCCCACGTAGGAGTTACTACACTACATTAATGAAGCTGTCAACAGATCCCACTATGTGGACATTGCTGGATCCCACTAAGTAGAATCTACTGAATCCCTCTTTGCAGCTGTTGCCAGGCCCTTCAATGTAAGCATTGCTAGATCACTGTCTGCAGATTCCTCTAAAGAGGATGAAAAGTCACTGAAGATGTTACTAACTCGTCACCCTTCTATAGGAAGGATGCTGTTAAACTTGAGAGGATGCAGAAAAGATTTACAAGGATGTTGCCAGGACTGGAGAGTTTGAGTTATAGGTAGACGCTAAATAGGCTGGGGCTTCTAGGGGGTGGCAGAGGCTGATAGAGTCCAAAACTATAGGGCATAGATTTAAGGTGAGAAGGGAAAAATTTAAAAAAGGAACTGAGGTGTAAGTTTTTCAAGCAGATACTACTGGATCAAATACTTTCCAATATATTTTTAAAATGCATTATTTCATGGGAGATGGGTGTTGTCATCCCTTAATTGTCTCGATCCGAGAGAGTCTTGCAAGGCCTCTTCAGAGGGCAGTTTTGAACCAACTACATTGTCATTGGTCTGGAATCATATATAGGCCAGATCAGGCAGGGGTAGCAGATTTCCTTTTTTAAAGGACATTAGTGAATTAGAAGGGTTGTTATGAATGATTGATAATAGCTTCATGGTTACTGTTACTAACATTGCATTCCAGATTTTTATTAAATTTAATTCTAAATCTCACCAGCTGCCAATGTGAGATTTGTACTTATGTCCCCAGAATGTAAACCTAGACATTTAGGTGATCAGTCATTACCACCAATGGATGAATTATCAGATGTTCTTTCCAAACCCAATGTTGCTCTTTTGTCTTTATACCAAGTGGAGGCTTAACTATTTGATGTTTTCAGTGTTGTGTCATGTTGTAACACATACCCTTGAATGTCATATTCATGTACAGGAAGCGAAATAAAACATCTGGAAAAAAAATGAAAATGTTGCCTGCTTGTTTTATGATTAAACCTGGGAATGTTGCCAGTGTGAACTGTTGTACTATGATTCTCTTTACTAACTCACTCACTGTTTACTATACCACATTTCCATTCACTCATTTACAAAACTGTATTTTTGTAGCACATTTTACTCTTACAAGATAAACTAAATTAAAAATCCCTTCCAACCCATTACTGTTTCTTTACACCTTTCAATTCTTATCAACTCCATGTTGCAAGCAGCATTTAGACCTGTTTCTGTATGAAAGGCTACCCCTGAATAAGTGTTAATACAGTAACCTACTCAGAACAATGTCATCCCCACCATCGTGTCTCCATAACTCACTCGAAACTATGGAAAGATTATAAGATTAATTAGCCCTTAGCAACCATCTCTCGGGATCTGAATAGGTTGCAGGACATTGAACAGTTTCCTACAGTCTGCTGCTCCTTATCTCTTTGAAATTCCCTTATACACTACCCATTTCTAACTTTTATTTAGATCAACCATCTTGTACTAGCGCACAGATTGATACTTCTTAAATACACATTGAATAGGGCTGCTACACCCTTTAAGAAACTTACTATCAAAACAGTGCTTCCGTGAAACTGTGTAAGAACTGTGAGAACCGGCAATCGTAAATGAAATCTCATGACCCAGCTGCAGAAGATCAGTTTAATATCCTCTATACTTTTATTTAGTATACATATAATTTTTCACTTATCTAGATCATAGAGGTCTAGTATTTTTACTAACATTATTAACTTTAAAGACAAAAGGGCTAACACCTCTTAATTATGCAAGCTCAGACCGGACACACATTCTAATCCCACTAGGAGTAACAGCCAGCATTTAGCAAGTGCTTAAACCATCTCCTACTTCCCCAGGACAGATGTCACACAAACTTGTGTACAATACAGACAATTATGTGACACCATAGTGCTAAACGTTTAATTTATGTAAAAATGGTGTCTAAAAGAGGCTACTGTACTTTGGATTCCATCACTGCCTTGAATTCTGCTATTGCGAATACTCAATAAAGAGGCCATTTTCGCCACTCACTGATCTCGGTCATTATTGAATATGATCCCACACCACTTTACAACGAGGCCAGTTTCTGCAGCTTTTCATAGAGTCATAGAGTGCTACACCATGGAGGCAGGCCCTTCAGCCCAAATTGGTCTATAGCGACCAAAATATCCATCCACACTAACCCCATCTGCCAGCACTTAGCCCATATCCTTCTAAACCTTTCCTATTCGTGTATTCGTCCAAATGCCTTTTAAATGTTGTTAACGTACCCACCTCAACCACTTCTCCTGGCAGCTCATTCCATATGCGTACCAACCTCTGTGTAAAAAAGTTGCTCCTCAGGATCCCATGTATTCTCACCCCTCTTACCTAAACTGATGCCCTCTAGTCCTCGATTCCCCAACGCTGGGAAAAAGACTGAGTTCATTCACACTATCCATGCCTCTCATGATCTTATTCATTTCTATAAGATCCCATCCTCAGTCTCCTGTGGTCTAAAGGAAAGAGTCCTAGCTTGTCCAACCTCTCCCTATAACTCAGTCCCTTGAGTCCCTTGGCAACATCCTTGTAAATTTTTTCTGCACTCTTTCCAATTTAATAACATCCTCCCTATAGCAAGGTGACCAAAACTAAACACAAAGTGCAGCCTCACCAATGTCCTGTATAACTACAACATAACTTCCCAATTTCTATACTCAATCCCCTGACTGATGAAAGCCAGTGTGCCAAAAGCCTTCTTCACCGCCCTGTCTGCCTGTGACTTCACTTTCAGAGAACCGTGCACCTGATCTCCAAGGTCCCTCTGTTCCAATACACTCCTTAAGACCCTACCATTCACCATGAAATTCCTACCTTGAGTTAACATTCTAAAATGCAACACCTCACATTTATCTATATTAACCTCCATTTGCCATTTCTTGGCATACTTCCCCAGCTGATCAAGAACCTGCTGCAATTTCTGATAACTTTCCTCACTCTCTACGATACTGCCTATTTTAGTGCGTGTTTTTCTCCTCCTCTGGTTCCATATGCCTGCACACTCATCCCCATTCCACCCACGTGCTCAGTCAGTTATGTCTTCCAAGTTGACCAGCTACAGTAGAACATTACACACAGTGACATGAATCTGTAGTTATGCCAGCACCTGCTGTCAAAATCACACCATTCCTCCCCTAGGCCCAAGTTTTTTTTTGAAATGGAAGTCCCCAGTTCTGTCCTTTATCTTGTGAAGCAGTGACTCATGCAGGAGCATGTGTTCTAACAACAGAAGCCTATCCCTTCCCACTGCGTATCATTTTCATGTCAGCCAAACACGGAGGGTTTGATTTTCTTCCACTATCCACTGCTTAAATTGAACACGTCAATCTTATCACCAAATGATCTTCAGGATTTCAATCTCCCATTGCTGGAATCAGTGTGGGCTCTCATTTCCCTACATCCCGCATCTAAAAATGGCATTGGGCAGTGCAGACTGGACTGCCACAGAAAATGGGACTGCTGTTCTGCTTCTCCCTTCAGTTTTTCTTCAAACGTGGGCATCACTGGTAAGACCAGAATTTATTGCATATCTCTAAATGCCTTTGAATCGAGTGGCTCCCGAAGCCATTTTGGAGGAGAGTTGGAGTAAACCACATTGCTGCGGGTCTGGAGTCACATGTTGGCCAGACCAGGTAAGAACAGAAGATTTGTCTCCCTAAAGGACATTAGTGAACCAGATGGTTTTTATGACAATTGATGGAAGGCATGTTTGTATTTCACTCTTCCAAGTATACACAACAAAGGCAGTTAAAAACCAACTGCAAGCCCTGGTCTCTAGGTACTAAAATGCTGGTGTGCCAGTCTGGTCATTGAGTTTCAGAGTACTGAAATTGGCTCAAAGACATAAATGTGTTTGGACTGGGAAAACGTATCCATGAGGGATGGAATAATTTTTAATTTGATCTTGTTGTGATCAACCAAGGAAGGGGTTGAGAATGGGGATGGGGGGGGGGGGGTGGGGAGGGGGGGGGGGGGGGTGGGACGCACGGGGGGATGAGGCAGTTCATCCCTCATCTGAGGACCTAACCATTTGGGCATACCTTATCTAGAACTCTAACAAATTTGGGAGCCCTCGCCCAGGGACCTATCCTGACAATGAACATCAGGTTCTCTTTTAACGTTCTCAACCCCACTGAAAGAATCTCTGACTTTACAAGTCTTTCTTCACAACTGAAATCCTTCATACTGTTGTACTTCCCGGTGAAGTTTTTGGATTGATTCTACAATGGGGCCACAATTCCCACATCCAAATCATTTATCTGTACAGGTTAAATCAGAGGGCTCCCATTCCATACACCTGCAGAAGGTCATTTGCAGCGTAGAATCATAGAGCTGTACAGCACAGAAACAGATCCTTTGGTACAACTTGTCCATGCTGACCAGATATCCTAGATTAATCTAGTCCCATTTGGCAGCATTTGGTCCATATCCCTCTAAACCCTTCATATTTATGTACCCATTCAGATTCCTTAAAAATGTTGTAATTGTACCAGCCGCCACCACTTCCTCTGGCAGCTCATTCCATACACGCACCACCCTCTGCATGAACCTTTTACTCTGTGATTTGTGTCCTCTGACCTCTTCTGAATCCAGCTGGGAACATTATATTTTCATTTATAGAGTCATTTTTTTGCCACAGAATGAGGTCATTTAGCCCATTGAGTGTAATACGTACACATTTAAACTTTGATAGAAACGTCAGTCCTAACGAAAATATGACACCACTTAGCACTAAAAATACAAAAACAATCTTTTTACGGCTATGTTAATCATTTATACGTAAAGAACTGGATACTTAATAGGATCAACTCCACCTCTTGGGTCCAGATTTAGTTTTTGTTATTGAAGCCCTATTAATCTTTTATTTGGTGCCTTGTCAAAAACACAGAAAATGCCCAGAAAATTCTATTTGGTTGATTAAGCATGCCTTGCCTTTGAGAAATCTGTGCTAATGTGTCCTAATTAACTTGACTGCTTATTAAGAATAGCTGGCCTTAATTTCCTACCTTCTCCCTATGTCTGGAACAAGCGAATCTGAGCTGCCATCATCCTGTGCTCTGGTATAATTTTTCTTTACAAATAACCTTAGCAAATCATAAGATGCTCCCAATGCATCTGCTGCCTTTGTCCTTCTATTAGGAAAGATAGGGAATGTGGAAAAGTGCTGTTGAAGGACGCTTGGCAAATAGTTTTAGAGTGTTTCGAAGATGGCACTGCAGCTGTTTAATTACATTATCTTTCACCTTGACCCTTCAAGATGGTCAATTTTTTTCTTTATTCATTCATGGGATGTGGGCATCGCTGGCCAGGCAGCATTTATTGCCCATCCCTAATTGCACAGAGGGTAGTTCAGATTCAATCACATTGCTGTGGGTCTGGAGTCACATGTAGGCCAGACCAGATAAGGATGGCAGTTTCCTTCCCTAAAGGGCATTAGTGAACCAGATCGGTTTTTCCTGACAATTGACAATGGATTCATGGCCATCATTAGATTCTTAATTCCAGCTGTTTATTGAATTCAAATGTCACCATCTGCCATGGCGGGATTCAAACTCAGGTCCCCAGAGCATTATCTGGGTCTCTGAATTAACAGTTCAGTGGTAATACCACTAGGCCATCACCTCCCCCTAAACCAACACACAGAGATTTCAGCAGATTCAAAGAGAAGGTGTATAGTAAATAACCTAAGCAAGTCTTTGCACTCTATGGAGACCAGTGCTACCACAGTGAATCTAAATGCCTTCATCAACAAATCTTTAGAAGTTAATTCCGTTCTAATTTTGAGATGTTCATTTTAAGACTCAAGATTGGTAGATAATAGATAAAAATATGTCAATCTGCATTTAACAAAAGTTACCAATTCACTGGTCTATTCAATTGTCATAATAGTTACTGATTTTTCAGGTCATCTTTCCAAACAAAATAGGAGGCGGTGGCATAATGGTAACTTCACCAGTAATCTTGAACCCCCGACTAATATTCTGGGAATATAGATCCAAATCCCACCATGTCAGATGGTGAAATTCAAATTCAATAAAGATCTGGAATTAAAAGCTAGCCTAATGGTCAACTTTTAACATAAAGATTCTTGATCATGTAAAACACTCATTCCCTCCACCACTGACCTTCAGTAGCAGCAGTGTGTACCATCTACAAGGTGCACTGCAGAAATTCACTAAAGACCCTTGGACAGCACCTTCCAAACCCATAACCACTTCCATCTAGAAGGATGAGGGCAGCAGATACAAGGGAGCACCATCACCTGCATGTTCCCCTCCAAGCCACTCACCATCCTGACTCGGAAATATAATCACTGTCACTGGGTCAAAATCCTGGAATTCCCAAAAATCCTGGATTCCCTCCCTGAGGGCATTGGGATCAACCTACAGCATACAGGCTGCTGCGGTTCAAGAAGGCAGCTCACCACGCCTTCTCTAGGGGCAACTAGGGACGGGCAATAAATGCTGGCCCAGCCAGTGACACCCACATCCCATGAGTGAATAAACAGAAAACCCATCTGGTTCTTTCATGCCCTTCGGGGAAGGAAATCTGCCCTCTACGCAATTATGGACAGGCAATAAATACTGACCTAGCTAACTACACCCATATTCCAGGAAATGATAATAAAAATAAACAGTCCTACCATTTCTGGATTTGTATGCAATTACTACTTAAATTCATGCAGAAGTAATTATTTGAGATTGGCCTGTTGTAAACAGCTAGCACAGCGGCCTCACCCTTCCACAAAGAAAACAACTTGTCTGTGTCGAGCCAGTATATCAACATGAGGCCAGCAGACTGCACAAAGTTATCTCCAAATGAACTGCAGGTAGCTGTTGCTGGTTACTGATCTGAACCTTGTGCTCACTACAACGCAAACTATAACACCTGGCTGCAAGTGCAGAACTTCAACATACCAAATTCTACTCTTCTGCATTTCTTGATACAGAACTCCTAATATTGTGCAACATCAGCAGTATTTCATCCTGAGCAAAGACAACAGATTGCTAATTAGTTCCTTATGCATGAATTGCTCATATATAGCCAGTCTAGTCTATGTCAAACATGTATGTGATGATGGCCAATTTTTGTATAGGTCGTATTCCTAAAAAGTTCACGTTCAGATTCAATTGTAGTTAGTTTGATTCAATAGCAAAGGATATAAACTTACATTCATAGAATCCCTACAGTGTGGAAGTAGGCCATTCAGCCCATTGAGTCCACACAGACTCACCCCATCCCTGTAAACCTGCATTTCCCATGACTAATCCATCTAACCTGCACATCCCTGAACACTACAGGCAATTTAGCATGACCAACCCACCCTAACCTGCACATCTATGGACTGTGGGAGGAAACCCACATAGACACAGGGAGAATGTGCAAACTCCACACAGACAGTCACCCAAGGCTGGAATCAAACCTGGGTCCCTGGCGCTGTGAGGCAGCAGTGCTAACCACTGAGCCACCATGCCACCCACTTCACAAATTGATCATTTTAAAATCATTCTTCAGAAACCCTGATCTAAATTTAAACTATACATGCAATTATCAGTATTTATTGCAGATATAGTCCTATCTATCATCAATTGATAATCTGTATATAAGTAGAATGGGAAGACCTGATTATTCTCAAGCACTTATATCTTATCTTTTATGTAGGAAAATGTCCCAAAATGTAATCAGATTTTTTAAAAATCTGCCTAGTCAAAGGACACAGACATGGCAATAGAAGTAGACTGTTGGGCCTCACAAACTCGTTCCGTTGCCATTAAACATGGAACTCAAAGCACCTCAGTGCACCTGATCAAAAACAAAGTTGCTGGAAAAGCTCAGCAGGTCTGGCAGCATCTGTGAAGGAAAAAACAGAGTTAACGTTTTGGGTCCGGTGACCCTTCCTCAGAACTGATGGTGGCTTGGAAAACGTCAGTTTATATGCAGAAAATAGGGAGGTGGGTGGGGTAGGGAGTAAACGATAGGATAGAGCCCAATGAGAGAGAGAGACAGTTGGACAGACAAAGGAGTTGCTAACGATCAAGCTGAGAGGGTGAGTTGTTGTTAATGGGGATTGTTAGTGACTAACAAGGGGTGTGTAGTAGCAGGCTATGTGGTAACAAGGCCTGGTGTGTGGGGTAGGGGGCTGGGACATGGGAGAGTTTAGGCCCTAAAATTATTGAACTCAATATTGAGTCCAAAGGGCTGTAGGGTCCCCAAGCAGAAAATAAGGCGTTGCTCCTCCAGCTTGCGTTGGGCTTCGCTAGAACACAGCAACAAGCCGGAGACAGAGATGTTGGCCAGGGAGCAGGATGGTGCCTTAAAGTGGCAGACAACAGGTAGTTCAGGGTCGTTTTTGCGAGCAGAACGTAGAAGTGTTGCTTCACCTGGAAGGTATGTTTGGGCCCTTGGATGCTGAGGAGGGAGGAGGTAAATGGGCAGGTGTTGCACCTTTGCCGGTTACAGGGGAAGGTGCCGTAGGGCTGAGGGGAGGTGTTGGGGGTGAAGGAGC